ACAATATCTAATATTTACACAATATGCAACATCCAGTCAGCATACAAAATTTACACAACATCCAACATTTACACAATATCTAACATTTACACAATATGCAACATCTAGTCAGCATACAACATCTACACAACATCCAACATTTACACAATATACAACATCTAGTCAGCATACAACATCTACACAACATCCAACATTTACACAATATGCAACATCTAGTCAGCATACAACATCTACACAACATCCAACATTTACACAATATGCAACATCTAGTCAGCATACAACATCTACACAACATCCAACATTTACACAATATGCAACATCTAGTCAGCATACAAAATCTACACAACAAGCCCAGGGTATAATAATAATCATTAATAATAACTATTGAATATTCAATGGTCATCCAAAAGAAAGCTTCCCTGAAAATTTCAGCGCGCTAGCTAACTGGGAAGTGCCAGAAATTTCGATCGCAAGATTGGATTGGAAAGACAAACACAGAAAGACACAGAGAAAGCAAGTTAAAGAAAACGTGGGAAAAAAGTTTAAAAAAACCCACGTTTTCTGATTGAACTAAAAAGTAGAAAATAAATACTATACATCTCAATAATGCAAGCGATCACTCTACTATAAGCGATGAAAAACGTGGGGCGCCGAAGTAAAAGTTATATTACTATTGATTAGATAATACTATTGACTTTTATTAGGGAGCTTGTAGAGAGTCAACAGTATTAGAAACTGTAAGAAAATCACGGCGCCCCACCATATCGTCTCCCCCAAACTGGCCACCAGTGGTAATAGTTACCTCCTGTAAGTTTAAAGTCGGTTCAAACTAAATTATCTGCCCCTAAGCCTGTCGCGACGTGGGATCGTTCGCTTCACTGCGCGCGGCAAGAGAGAGGCGAGCTACGCGTCGCTCGTTTTTTTTCTAATGGCTCGCAGAGGAGAATTATATATATAGATTATATAGCGGTCTAAAATGCTCAATAAAATGTTTCCATTGATCAATTTAGTAATAATAACAATTGAATATTCTATGGTCATCCAAAAGAAAGCTTCCCTGAAAATTTCAGCGCGCTAGCTAACTGGGAAGTGCCAGAAATTTCGATCGCAAGATTTGATTGGAAAAACAAACAAACAAACAGAGAAAGCAAGTTAAAGAAAATGTGGGAAAATGGCCACACTGGCCCATTCTATCCAAAACAAATGCTTCGATAATCTCTCAAACTTCACTCAAAGGTATCACAACTAAGTCTCATTACTTTCTTCTTGGTCCTGTATCTGTAGTAGTAGGCGACGCCACCAAACACGAGGACAAGGACCAAGACAGCTCCGGCACCAAGACCGATGCCTTGCCCGATCCTCACTTGTAGTTCCTCGTAGTCCAGGGCTGGTCAGAGGTAAGTTTGGAAACATGGATTGGATTAAAATAATGACGACCTGATTTGGATTAAAATGGTTTGGGTAAAATACTACGTGGGTTTGATATTTGAAAGTGTTTGGCTCAAAAGATGGATTGGATTAAAATAATGACGAACTGATTTGGATTAAAATAGTTTGGGTAAAATAATACGTGGTTTTGATATTTGAAAGTGATTGGACTTATATAACTTGCTTTGGTTATGGATTTACATAATTATAGTTTGGATAAAACGTTTAATTAAGTAGTTTCGATTAGAACTTAGTGTTTTAAGTTAGATTTAAACATAGGTTTTATTTTCATTAAATTCATTGGGTTAAATTAAAAGCGTTTTGAATTCATATTTAAAGGGTATGTGTTATTAACTAAATTCGTCGGTTTAATATTGTTAAATTGGTTTGTGTTGTGTTTCTGCATCAGCCAATCAAAAGATACCGACCTTGACACGACCTTTTGTCCGAGTTCAAAGCACGACCTTCTGGACACTCACAGGTGTAACTTCCGTTCAGATTCTTACACAGGTAGTCGCAGATGTCGTTGAACTCCTTGCACTCGTTGATGTCTGCAAGAAGAATCTGTTCCGTTAGGTATTCGTGGGCGTTCTTCAGGAATTTGTGGAAATACTAGAGGACTTTGTGGCAACACTGCATGAATAGGTGTTGGTGGTCTTTCAACAAATTGTGGAAATACCACTACAGGAGTTTGTGGTTGTATTATACGAATGAGTGGTCGTATTTGTGGTCGTTTTTCATCGAAGTTTGATCGCTCTCAAGATATTTGTGGAAATACTACATGAATTGGTGGTTGTATTATAGGAATGTGTGGTCGTTCTACAAGATTTTATGTCGCACCATTACAAGAATCGATGGTCATATTTTAGGAATACATGCTCGTTCAACGAGAATTTATATGTTTGCAATTCAGGTATCAGTTGTCGATCTACTCTACTAATATGTGTTCGGTTTATTTTAGGGTCAGGCGTATTTTTAGGGTGACGTGTTTAGGGTCAGAGTGTAACTCTTATGGCCGGTTTTAAGAACAAAATTACTCTAATAATTATGCTTATGTAATGTGACAGGATAACAGTTTCAGATCAAATCTCTGTTATTTTATAACTAGTTAACTTAAATGATATTTTATACCAAAAAAAAAAAGTTTGCATGATTGTTTTGATTTTTAGCATAGATGAAACAAAAAGAACTTTATTTCTACTGACCTTTACATTCTATCCCGCCAATCATTGGCGTGTACCCGCTGTCACAGAACTCTGGAGAAAATAATTTACATTCAAATAGATTAAAATAATAAAGAAAAAATCTAGAATAGAAATAACAGTGTGAATCCTTATAGGACACTTGAAACTTGATCCATAAAACTTAGTTTTATGGATAAAAAAGTGTTATGGAACAAATCCTCTACCAATCTCAACAAAATCGTAAGATTCCCCTAGTTCGTTGGTACTGCTGCACTGGTAGATGCCTATGTCTGATTGGTTAATGTTGAAGATGGTCAGGATCATCAGGTGCCCATTGATGTCATCGCGTACCGAAATCTGGTACTTCCTGTCAAAAATGTGAATAAACCAATGAACATACATTTAGTTTTGTGGTTATTTTTAACTAACAATTTCTTCAGTTTTAACAATAAAAGAGTTTTGAGAGGTGTGAAGAGGTTAGGGGTGATGAGACGGGGTATGAATATGGCGGCGTTGCTTTATCCGGAAAAATAAGTATCAGAGTGGCAGAGAGACGGTTATCCAAAGGATAACACGGGTCGTCTAGTATATTATAAAAGTTTTAAAATAGACTCACCCGGGCTGTGCAGCGATTGTCGTGAACTTGTGAGCGTTGGAATGGTCAAGTGCAAACCTCCAGGAATATTCCGAGGGTGGCGGAAATGACGTCACCTGACAGACGATCTGCTGTGAGGTGTTTAGGTTGGTGTAGAACCGATTGATAGGTGACTCGACATCAGGTAGACCTGTCATGTATAGGGGGGGGGGAGGAGTCGTATTAATGGGTGATATTTTTTAGTGAAGGATGGCAATGCGAATCATTGCAATATGGCAAGATATTAGTAGTATACATTTGTACCGGGAATATCACGATGTTTATCTACTGGTTATATACTGATTTTGAGCTATTATAACCATCCCGATGTTTTAACCACTATAAACATTATTTTTTACTACTGTAAACATCATGAAGTTTAACTACTGTAAACATCATGTTTAATTACTGTGAACATCACGATTTTTAACTACTGTGAACATCATGATGTTTAACTACTGTTAACATCTTGATGTTTAACAACGGTAAAACATAATGATGTTTATTTACTTTAAACATCACGATGTTAACTACTGTGAACATCATGATGTTTAACTACTGTTAACATCACGATGTTTAACTACTGTGAAAATCATGATGTTTAACCACTGTAAACATCATGATGTTTAACAACTGTGAACATCCAGATGATTTACCCACCCGTGACTTGAAGACGGACGGTCGAGGTGAAGTTGGACCCATCGACCGACATCTGACAGGTCAGCTCCCCGTCCCAGGAGAAGTCCACGTGGTTGATGACCAGAACAAACATGGCGGATGTGGAGTCGCCTGGAGAAAACCAAAACGAGGCTTAGACAACCTTGGCTCTCACTCAGTGGTTTATCATCACGTCATCTCTAAACAACGAGAGGATGCCATAAGGTAAGGCAGCTTGGTTCGAAGAGGTGTTTTTTACGAAATTTTTTTTCTCTCAGTGATGGGGTGGGGGAAGAGCTTGCAACACGAGGATCGGGGGGGGGGGGGGGTGGGGGATTGCTTGAAATTAAAGGAATTGGACACTGTTTACAGATAATATTTCCTAATTAAATTCGTTATGTTTTCTCTTTCGCCCAGGGGGAGGGGGGCAGTGGAGGTACTCCGGAGAGGGGCAGAGCCCCACCCCACTTCCCCTCCGAAAAGATGCCTTAAAATAAATCTGTGGAGTCTACTTACAGTTTTTCTAAATTTAAATACGCACGCTCTAAGGGAGGTAATAAAATATTTAAAATGCGGATTTTAAAAATATTTTTTATCTCCCTTGCTACTGTTGGATTACAGTTAAACGTAATAGATTCTTAGCTCAGCAGTTATTGACGTCTTTTAGAGTATTAAAAAGTAATGATGTGTTGGATGTTGTACGAATGTTTCAGATCTGAAATTATGTTTTTTTTCTGGTTACAATTAGGCTAACACAAACAGTTATTTCGAGTTATTTGTAATGCAATGATTATGTGTTATCAAGTATTGATTCTCAGCTGGCCTGAAAACATCTGCACATAAAAACAATTTTTTTTTAAACTAACCCCATCCCTATCAACTGTTACTGTTTTAGTGTATTTAAATATTGTAAGAAATTAATAGTTTTAAGTCGGCTGGTTATATATCATTTAAATTGAATAAATGGGAATTTTAAGGTTTGTTTTTTTGCTTTAGTATTGTTAATTTTTCAGACTACAATTTAAAAAAAAAACATTGGTATTGGAGTATAGAAAGAGGTGCCATTACCCTCAGAGATGTTGAACGACAGGTAGGTTCTGACACTCTGTGTGGAGCTGTTGGCTATCGTCATGTTCTGCTGACCAGTCCTCAGTGTCCAGAAAAAACTGTACTTTTCCTGTAAGATCAAATTGTTTTTTTTTTAAATCGATGATCGATCCGGCGAACAGGATTATTGATTGGTGAGGAGGGCTCGGGTGAAGAGGGCACAATGAGGATACACGAGCACACAGCAGGACAATCAATGCTCTCTCATAAACATGTATACACGTGCAGACACGGCTTGTCGTGAGCACTAGAGTGGTGGAGAGGAGTTTAAATTGGACACAGTCAAACAGTTTAGGCGCCATTGTTGGAAATTATAGATATATGAATAAATATACATTGTATTTGTATATATATATATATATATATATATATATATATATATATATATGTGTGTGTGTATGTATATATATATATATATATATATATATATATATATATATATATATATATATATATATATATATAATATATATATATATATGTATATATATATATATATATATATATATATATATATATATATATATGTATATATATATATATATATATATATATTTTTTTTTTTTTTTTTTAATTTATTTATTTATTTATTTATGCCTATCGCACCCTCATACATACATATGCTTGTGTGTGTGTGTGATTACGTATGTGATTGTGTAGTTGTGTATGTCCACACCATCGTCCAACCCATGAGCACATAAGCTGCTGACCCACTGACCCACTGACCTTGGGTATGGAAGCATTCAGGTTAGCTGCCAGACACCTGACCAGCTTCATGTCGTTGACCCTCAGCTTGACCACATCTGTGTCTTCTTCGATCCTGACGAAAGTGTCGTCTGTTGTGGATAAAAGGTTGATTTAGACAATGTCAACGTCAAGTTCAGTGTCGCTTGACTTTACTCAAGTGAGTAATTTAGACACGATCATGTGACAGATTTAGTAAAACTTGACTTAGGCCAGTGTCATGTGACCAATATAATTTAGAACGAGTGGTCTTTGTCCACGTAGATTAAGGCCATAGCCGTATCGGACCCGAGGTAGAATTGAACTAGGTTTTCTGCTCAGAACAACACTTTTCTTAACAGCTAAATTGCTTTTTATTAAAACCATCATAAGGACCTAACCTACCCAAAATCATTTTAGTTAAAATTAATTCGCATCACAAAATTACACATTATATATACATATATTGCCAGAGGCATAGCTAGGGGAGGGGGGCGGCCGCCCCGGGCGCTGACCTTAAGGGGGCGCCAAAATGAGTAGACAAATTAATTTGAAAGCTCATTTTAAGCTGAAGTATCGAATTATACACTGTCAAAGCTACGAAAAAAACTACTACAAGGCGTCACACACTGGTTTAACAACTTTGTGACACCGAAAAAGAAATAGTTTCAGGGGGGGGGGGGGCTTTTTCACAGACAGGAATAGCTATATATAGAAATAGGGGGGGGGGGGGGCGCAAAATTAATAGTCCGCCCCGGGCGCCGGATTAGGTCGCTACGCCTCTGTATATTGCAATAAGATAAAGTAAAGAAATAATTTTAAAAATATTTTATCTTATTGAACTCGATTCTACAAAACACGATCCGTATGGATTATTTTATTGTATTCCAATACTGAGCAATTATTGATATTTGTTTATAACTAGCTCTGCATACCTAGCCAGGGTGTTCAATTGATTTTTTTTTTTGATGAGGTGACTAGTCGATAAAAGTTCCGTCTTTTAAATATCGAACTAATACATCAAATATTTAAACCAGTTCGGTCATGTCTTTTCCCAAATGTTCATCCTTAGTCTTCTTCGGTATTGGTGGTGTTGGGTGTGTTGGTGTTGTTAGATGTGGTGGTGGCGTTGGAGGTGTTGGTGGTGTTGGCGGTGTTGGCGGTATGTCTTGTGCTGAGTATTCACCATTTCCCTAATACCCATCCCTGAATTTTATCTTAATAGTTAGGATATTCAGCTGTTCTTTACTAAGCATTATACCTACCACAGAAGTCACCCGTATATTCTCCAGTTAACCCCATACCTACCAGACCCCCAATAGTTCTCCAGTTAACTTCATACCTACCATATCCCAACTATTCCTCAGTTAACCCCATACCTACCATTACTCAACTGTTCCCCAGTTAACCCTATACCTACCAGACACCCAACTATTCCCCACTTAACCGTATACCTACCATATCCCAATAATTCCCCGGTTAACCCCATACCTACCATTGACGAGGAACTCGAAGCTGTCTCTCCCAAAAGGGTTAACCACAGTACACCTGTACTTGCCGACATAGCTGGAGTTAAAGGCGGGGATCAGGTAGTTGGTGCTCCATACAATCTGGTTCCAGTCACTCGGGGCCCTGGGGCGGGGCGAGGTGGGTGGCACAAAAATGTATTAACATATTTTTAAAAAGTGCATTAATAATAACAGCTTACAAGGTAAATCAAAAAAAATCTAGCCTACAAAGTTCACGACAAATAAAAATTTTAAAAAATATTTTAAAATACGAAAACTTTAAACTATTTTCCCACGTTTTCTTTAACTTGCTTTCGTCTCTGTTTGTTTGTCTTTCCAATCAAATCTTGCGATCGAAATTTCTGGCACTTCCCAGTTAGCTAGCGCGCTGAAATTTTCAGGGAAGCTTTGTTTTGGATGACATTAGAATATTCAATTGTTATTATTACTAAATTGATCCATGGAAACATTTTATTGAGCACTTTAGACCGCTATATAATCTATATATATAATTCTCCTCTGCGAGCCATTAGAAAACAAGCTGCAAGCGCCTCCTTACAGTCCCCTCTCTTTCTCTCTATCACTATCACTACCACCCTACCCCACCCCCACATGGTCTGCTGAGCTGTGGTCACGTTAATGTTTACAAACCGTACAGCCAGGTTTAGTGACGGCTATTAGGGGCAGATAATTTAGTTTGAACCGACTTTAAACTTACAGGAGGTAACTAAGAGGAGGCTGCTTTCACGGGGGGGGGGGGGGGGTGTAGGGTCGGGGTTAGGGGAAAGGAGGGGGGTTAGTGTTTTAAAGCAAATATTTTCAGTGGCAGCATTGTTACTGTCGAATTCACAAATTATGAATTACTGAAAAGTAGAAAATAAATCAACTAAATAGCGGCGTATGATACGCCGCGGGTCGGCTTGTTGTAGTAAAAACGTGGGGAAAAAGGGACATAACCCAGTTACTGTAATTTGTGTACAAACAACCGTAACAACTGGTGGCCAGTATGGGGGAGACGATATGGTCGAGTGGTTGGGCAAACGATTGCTATCCCACTCGAGACGGGTTCAAATCTATGTGTTCTAGTCAGTAACGTATTCACACAACGTGTTTTTACGAGTTGTCTTTTTACGAGTTGTCTTTTTACGAGTTGTCTTCGTTTACCCAAAAAAAAAGTGAAAAGATAAAATCGATAGCAAGATTATAATGCAAACAAACAGACAAAGACTAAAAAGTAGAAAATAATAGTCATTAAAAAAGTTTTTAAAAACCCACGTTTTCTGATTGAACTAAAAAGTAGAAAATAAATGCTATACATCACAATAATGCAAGCGATCACTCTACTATAAGCGATGAAAAACGTGGGGCGCCGTGATTTTCTTACAGTTTCTAATACTGTTGACTCTCTACAAGCTCCCTAATAAAAGTCAATAGTATTATCTAATCAATAGTAATATAACTTTTACTTCGGCGCCCCACGTTTTTCATCGCTTATAGTAGAGTGATCGCTTGCATTCATTATTGTGATGTATAGCATTTATTTTCTACTTTTTAGTTCAATCAGAAAACGTGGGTTTTTTAAAACTTTTTTAATGATTATTATTAATTAAAACATTTTCTTTAAACAACTGTAACATATATATTAATATATATATATATATATATATATATATATATATATATATATATATATATATATATATATATATATATATATATATATATAAACATACATAAATTTGAATTTATCAACAAATTATCTTGTTAACAATATGTGTAAACTGTATACACTACGTTTGTTTGATTGGGTCTAAATGAACGGGCTGACAGATACAACTTACATGCGTGCGTCCTGTACTGTCTGACCACTGGGCAGTGTCCAGGATGACATAGACGGGGGAGGGGAGGATTCGAACACACAGCATGTCCGTGCTGGGAACTTGGACAGGTGCTGGACGGTCGCGTCTTTGATGATCCTTGGGGGGCCTGGGGGTGGGGAGATGAGAGAAATTTGTTGGGGGGGGGGGGGGATGAGAGAAATTAGGTGATACTTGGGGGCCTGGGGGTGGGCAGATGAGAGAAATTTTTTTAGGGGGGGGGTGAGCAAAGTTTGGTTATACGTGGGGGCCTGGGGGTGGGGAGATGAGAGAATTTGTTGGGGGGGGGGGAGATGAAAGAAATTAGGTGATACATGGGGGCCTGGGGTGGGGAGATGAGAGAATTTGTTTGGAGGGGGGGGGGAGATGATAGAAATTTGGTGATAAGTGGGGAGGGGGACTGGTGTGGGGGGGGGGGGTGTTGGCTAGATGTGAGAATTTTGGTAAGTGAAGGTGGGGGGGGGGGTTGAGAGAAGATGAGGGAATTTTAAGACAGTACTGATATTAGACACTTGTGTTATAGGGGATTATAAACCAGACTTTTGTGTAAGATAGGATAGGTAGACGTAGATTTTATAAACAATGTATAACATAGATATTAGCGTCATGGAGAAATTATAAGATAGACATCGTTATATTAGATTCTTTAAGTGAATATAGAAGGAATCAGTTTTTAGATACACCGATCTAATTTGTAAGACCGACACTGAGCTATCACACTGAGGCTATCAGGGAGTGCAAATGGCGTGGGACAGACATGTCCGCTTAGTAGAGCAAAAGTGCAACGTATTACTCAGACAGTAGATAGGGCGTTGTCTCAGTCAGATTATCAGGCGACAAAAAGCTAGATACGATAGTCACGTGATCGACACAAGTGTGTAGTTCGGGGTTACAATTTCGTGAAGCGTGCTATCGATCCTTTGTGTCACAATGTTCAGTCAGTGCTGACCAGAGTCATAAGTTTTAAACTGCTGACACTGTCACACATACTCGACTCCGCTGATTGCGTTTCTGTCTGTCGCCTAGCTGAGCCGCACCTTGATTCAGGGCAGGTATTTGCTACTGTTAGCTCGGCTAAAACATCTTCCAGGCATCTCTTCGGTGGGGCAGAGCCCCCCCCCCCCACCGAAAAAAGTCTACCGTCCCCCCCCCCCTCCCCGAACGAGATGGATTTTATATAGTAAACATACACTTTTACTAGTGTCCGCCCCCCCCCCAAATGTTGACCGCCCCCCCCCCCCGAAAATATCAAGTGCCCTCCCCCCCCCCCCCCCCGCCCCCGGAGAAAAAAGTCTGGAAGAAACACTGCTAATTATTATAGTGAGGGGGGGATGAATGATAGAGACCCTCTCAAATAACATCTGGAAAATTAAGCGCCTTTTTCCACCTCTCTTATACAAATAAAACCAGAACGAACAACGTTTTAATAAGGGAGGAGGTTATGATAATGCGGCAGGTACTTGCTCAAAACACAGCGTGATAAAAATCCTGAAAAGTAGATGATCGTCACCTGGGAAATGTGAATTATTTCACACTTGAATTAACGAATCCAAAAATAACCCCACTAGTAATCCACATAATCCTGTTGCTTGCATCTTCCCCAGACTAATAGATTTGATTACATTTTATTAACGACAGAATTTATCTCTTACTCGGTAACCTTTCCCTGGCATATAATGTTCACCCTCCTCATTCACAACTGTCCGAAAACTAGGCTACCTTTAATCGTAGCCTAAAGCGAATACACTTTAATATTTCTCAGGTAAATATAAAAGAGAAAAAAAAAAGATATTTATATTTCAATTTCAATTTAGTTTAAATTTTGACTTGTGAACCCACTTCACCATCATTGAGATCAATACATAACAGATTTAAGATTAACTGGTATTTATAACATTACATGTAGGCCTACCACAGGAATTGAGTGTGTAATGTTATTGTTTTAAAATAAGAGAAGCACTCTTAGATCTGGTGTAACAAATACGATCTTTGTTTGATAATTTTAAATGTATTTTTGTCAGTGCATCTTTAGAACCGGTTTAATTTATAAAATAACCGAATGTAGAGCACTAAATTTAGACACCGAGTGTCTTAATAACTAGAAAACGCAAAATAAGTACAAAGAATTTGAAAATATAAATGTGATTATGAGTTAACATTATTGAAAACAGTTCGCAGATTTTTGTTATTACACTTTGTCTCATAAATCAGGAAACTGTATCAAAGAAGTTAACAGAAATTAAACTATTGAATTTTATAGAATTTGATCGAAATTGAGTTTTGAAATTCAATAGCAATCGATCGATATATAACAGTTAAATTGTGCACAACTTTATAGCAATCGAACTATAAATTAAAAGTTGTAACGAACTGAAGGTATAGGATGGTGAATGCAACAGGGCCCGTTTAAAAAATAAACAAGAGTTTATGGTGGTTTTTGTTTTAAGTTGGAAAAAGGTTTGGCAGAGGCCAAAGAATTTTTAATCGACCAAGAGTGAGAAGAACTTAAATTTAGGAGGAGACACTTTGGGATGAGACAGGGGGGGGGATACAGTTTGGGATAAGACAGTTTGGGATGAGACACTTTGGGATGAGACAGTTAGGAGGGGATACAGTTTGGGATAAGACAGTTTGGGATGAGACACTTTGGGATGAGACACTTTGGAGGGGGGAATACAGTTTGGGATAAGACAGTTTGGGATGAGACACTTTGGGATGAGACAGTTAGGGGGGATACAGTTTGGGATAAGACAGTTTGGGATGAGCCACTTTGGGATGAGACAGTTTGGAGGGGGGGAATACAGTTTGGGATAAGACAGTTTGAGATGAGACAGTTTGGGATGAGACAGTTTGGAGGGGGGGGAATACAGTTTGGGATAAGACAGTTTGAGATGAGACAGTTTGGGATGAGACAGTTTGGGATGAGACAGTTTGGGGGGATACAGTTTGGGATATGACAGTTTGGGATGAGACAGTTTGGGGGGATACAGTTTGGGATAAGACAGTTTGGGATGAGACAGTTTGGGATGAGACAGTTTGGGATGAGACAGTTTGGGATGAGACAGTTTGGGATGAGACAGTTTGGGAGGAGACAGTTTGGGATGAGACAGTTGGGGATGAGACAGTTTGGGATAAGACAGTTTGGGATGAGACAGTTTGGGATGAGACAGTTTGGGATGAGACAGTTTGGGATGAGACAGTTTGGGGGTATACAGTTTGGGGGGAGACACTTTGGGATGAGACAGTTTGGGATGAGACAGTTTGGGATAAGACAGTTTTGGGGGGGATACAGTTTGGGATAAGACAGTTTGGGATAAGACAGTTTGGGATAAGACAGTTTGGGATAAGACAGTTTTGGGGGGGGGGTACAGTTTGGGATAAGACAGTTTTGGGGGAGGCGGGATACAGTTTGGGATAAGACAGTTTGGGATAAGACAGTTTTGGGGGAGGGGGATACAGTTTGGGATAAGACAGTTTGGGATAAGACCGTTTTTTTATGGGGGGGGGGGGATACAGTTTGGGTTGAGACAGTTTCGTAGGAGCCAGTTTGGGAGAAAAAAGTGTGGAGGAAAATAGTTTGTGAGCATGTGGGACAAATTAGAATGAAGCGTGTAAGTGTGTGTGTTGAGGTGGGGGCGAGGATTGTGCAAGTAGGAGTAAGAAAAAAACCTCACCTATTATCTTCAGCAACACGACGTTGCCCCTGAACACGCCTCTGTCGCCAACCCCGCACTGATATTCTCCATAGTCCTCAAAGGTCACGTTGTGTAGGGTCAAGGTCACCTTCCGGTAATCGGCCTGGAGTTCAGCAGAGCTTGTAACCTGCTCCCCTCTGTCGATTAGCACAACACCATGTCACCATTAAAGGTGATACCACACCATGAAACACCATAACAAAGGTGAACCAAAACACATTATTTAGTTCAAATATGAATAAACACCATCCAGTGGCGTAGCTAGAATTTTTTGGCCCCTATGCAAAAAGTGTTAGTGGGCCCCTCAGAGGTGTAGCGAACCTTCCCGGCGACCGGGACAAACTTTCGATTTGCACCCCCCCCTCCCCCTCAGACTTTCGATTTGCCCCCCCCCCCCCTCAAACTTTTGATTTGCACCCCCCCCCTCCCCCCCGCCCTCAGACTTTCGATATGCACTGCCCCCCCCCCCCCCTCAAACTTTCGATTTGCACCCCCCTCATACTTTCGAAAAAGGGCCCCTATTTGCCTTGGGCCCCTATGCCTTGCTTACGCTAGCTTTACGGTAGCTACGCCACTGACACCATCCAAAAAATTACAAAATTGAGTTCAAATGTGAAACAACATCATAAATCAACAAAACTAAAAGTTTGGGTAAAGATTAGCCCAACTCACCCCATGACTGAGGTCAAGCCGCCAGTGATGTTGACTGTGGCCACGACTTGCTCGGTGTAGTGACCTTCTTTGATCGTGGGTTTGAATCCAGACAGGTGAATCAGATTAAAGTCGTAGTTCTTTAATGAGAAATATCAAACAAATCGGGTAGTCAAAATAATAGAAATATTGGTAACTTGTAACATTAGGAAGATAAATTTTACTGTTTAATTTTAGAACGGGATCGCTAAACTGATGATAAGGTTAATTAATTTTTTTTCTAAACTTTACTTTATTTATTTGGGGGGGGGGGGGGGGGAGTTGAAGGCTGACACTTGAAAGGTGGGGTTTGAACTAGGGGCGTTTGGAGAAGCTCTAGCCTAGGATGAAGTTTTAGGCTCTTGTCGACTGAATGTACGGCAGGCTATTTACTACTTCGGAACGGGGAGCCTTGGTGGTCCATTGGTAGAGTAATTGATTACTAGCACAGCGTTTATCCAGTCCGTATTAATACCTGATTCAAGTTGTTGAGGGTAAAGATGGCGATGGTAAAGATGTGCTAAGAAGATCAACCCTTAAAAACAGATTCACTCTACTTCATCTGCACCATCGAACTTTCAGTGTACGTGCCGGTCTAAAAGGGGGGACTTGTATTTAAATACACATTACTGAACTAGAAAATTATCAAGATTTGGAAAAATCTACATTTTTAAAATGGTGTTAATGGTCGCTTGCTCTTATTATTAAATGGTTTTCTGCCCGGGGCGGGCCTACCACCGCACCCCCGAGTAACGCCATCAGTTGGACAGCTAATGTGTCAACGTTCAGATTACCATTGCGTAATTGTCCATGTCGTCGTCATCGTCCCCGGTCTGGTTCTGGAACTGGTAGGCGCAGACGAACGTGACGTCATCACCCACGTGAACCGAACTGTCCGAGAGGGCAGTGGTGAGGTCGGCGTTGCCATGGTTACACAGTAGACTCAGCAGGGCGAGGAGCGTGACGAACATCGTAGCCTGGAAAATAAAGTGGCCAGATATATTTTTTTAGGGTGATGCTAAAGTCACGAACTCAACGTTAAACATCCACACGCGCGGTCAAAGTCTGTTGCAGGTCGCATTGTCGGTCTTAGTGCGGGCTTATTTAAAATCAAGCCATTAGGGCGATATGGCGGTTGCATCAAAACCAAAGTAATTACATAATTAACAATTAATTAAATGCTCACAGCATCGTGAGGATAATATGATGAAATAAAATGAAAACTGCTGACGCCATTTAGGTTTATTTTTAGCCTGGTTTGTCATCAGGTCAAATACGTCAAAATGTCATGTGATGCGTGTAGTGAATGACGAAGTAAAGAGTATAGCGTAGGGGGGGGTGGGGGAATTAACGAATCATGACGTACTAATTATCTAGGATAAAACGTTAATAGTAGGCACGTATTTATTTATGCACTAGAAAGAAGATAATAGGAAGGATTTTCTTTTATTAACATTTTGTGTTAACTTAATTTTCATTCACTATACAGAGTATAGAGGAAGTATTGTAATCGTGCACAAAAATCACATGAAATGTTGGCAGTTTTCATAGTTTTACACCTCAGAACTTTATCATATTCGGAGCATAGGGGACTTATTTTAATCGGGCAAAAATAATAAATGCAGATTTATAAAATTTTCAGCGTTCTATGCGTAATCTAGTCGGGAAAACTGGGCTTTGCAATTCTGTCCGTATGTCTGTGTGTGTTTGTGTGTGTGTGTGTATGTCTGTGTGTATGTCTGTGTGTATGTCTGTGAACACTTGAGTACCGTTACAGCTAGGTTGATGAAGTTTCATATACAAGTATTATATAAAAATTTTATATCTTTGTAAACTTTCAAACGATTTCCATAACCGGAAATAGAGTTTTGAGCTATTTTTGTTTTCAATTTCTGTGATAAATGCATACGAGTTCGTTTTTTGTGTGTCTTTTTAAATTTTATTTTGTTAGTTACCGAAATACTAAAAACATCAATTTCATCCAATCTTGAGCAAAGTTCAATAATATTCAAATATTTATAACAATAATCCTTTTAATAACATCGTGCATGATTTTAAAACATCAATGAGCTTTTAGTTTAGATTAGTTTAGACCAGGGGTCGGCAACCTGCGGCTCGCGAGCCGCATGCGGCTCTTTTGATATCAAGATGCGGCTCTCCAGCTCCTTGAACAAATACTAACAATCTTAATTAAAAAAATATATTTGGAATGAAAAAAAAACGTTAGTGGCTCTTTAAAACCAGGGAAATTTTTGAAAATTGTAACTTTTGGCTCTTCCGCTTCAAAAGGTTGCCGACCCCTGGTTTAGAATAATTTTATAACACTCCTATGCTTGTTTCTGTGAATAAGCAGTGGTAACTGGTGGCCTTTTTAATTGTATAAAAAATAAGTACAAAACAATAAAGTGTTTGTTGCCAGGTGTATTAAAATATTTATTTGTAATATCATAAACTGCAAATTATTTTGACAAAATAATTATGACACATTTTTTTTTACTTTTAAAATGAGTAGTATTTAAAACCATCTATTTTTATTTCAGCTCAAATTTTATTGTGTTAATCAATTATATAGTTATTAAAAGTTGCCGCCCTTAACGTATTAATTAAGCTTTACGATACCATGGAATTAATAAACTGCTATTGCTATTATTCATCAAGTTCTGCTTATTAATTATCTCATCAATAATCTGTTCCTCTCTGTCTTCGTAATCGTTTAGTTGGGGAGTAGGAGTCATGCTGACTCTGTAGTCAAGAGTGACTCCAGAGTTTTATTCATTGGTATAGACCAGGGGTCGGCAACCTGCGGCCCGCGATGTCCTTTCATCCGGCCCGCGGAGATCTTTTTGTTCACGGAAAAAAACGTTTGTTGGTGATGGCTGAGGAACTTTGCTCAGAAAAATCAAAGACATGCCTGGAAGAAACTGGCCCCCGAAATGAAATTTGATAGTTAATGCGGCCCTCGGACTGAAAAGTTTGGAGACCCCTGGCATAGACGTTCGGCCTTCGTCCGGCCTAGTGGGATGATTTCTATTGAAAATGTATGTTCTATGGGCGGCTCAGGAAAAAAAAAACATTTAATATTTCAGATTGTATTCGTATTATACGGGGAAACCTCAACGCCGACGTCCATGGGGTAATTTTGTTTTAATGAACACGTAGCTGCAGCTAGTAGGGTAATTTAGATTTTAATCAGTCAACAGCTAATTTTCCTGAATCGGCATGAGATAAGTCCAGCATTTCTTGACCGACACCAATCACAGTGCAAGAAAATAATTTTAGTGAAAAGAAAATTCTACTTGGAATGAAAATATGGTACCTGTTGTTTTTAAAACAAAAGTGTTTGTATACTTTTTCTAAACACTAAAACGCAGAAAACAAAAGTATAACAACTTTATGGATTTAAAAAAATAAACTATTAAATTCAGTAAAAAAAGAAAATACATTTCCTTTCAGCAGCGTAGCGAGGGGGGGGGGGGGCATATGTCCCCGGGCGCCGACCTTAGGGGGCGCCAAAATGGGTTGGAAAGATAAATTGAAAGGTTGAGGGTGGTGTAAATCGAAAGTTTGAGGGGGGGGTGCAAATCGAAAGTTTGAGTGGGGGGTGCAAATCGAAATCTCGAGGGGAGGGGGTGCAAATCGAAAAGTGTGTCCCCGGGCGCCGGGAAGGGTCGCTACGCCTCTGTTTCCTTTATCCTAACAGTTAAAACGTGGGTCACTAAAATCCTAAAGTGCTTTGAACAATTTTCTTGAGCAACACTTTGAATATTTACAGCTAACGAAAAAATGTAAAAAGCTTGCTGTGTGTATATTCATTTAAATGAAGATGTAGCCTACTTGGTTTTAAAACATATGTTGTATCCTATCAAAACACCGTTGGTCTAGTGACAGTGTATATTTTATCCTTAAGTATATTAAAAATATGTAAATTTCAGGTGTAATTGCATAACAATTTCATTATCAAGGCATAAAATGTATGCGCAAAAGGGCAGTGACTGGACATTTTGTTGTGGGGCCAAGTTGTTGTAAAGGGACATTTGTTGTGGAGGGACATTTGTTGTGGAGGGACATTTGTTGTGGAGGGACATTTGTTGTGGAGGGACATTTGTTGTGGAGGGACATTTGTTGTGGAGGGACATTTGTTGTGGAGGGACATTTGTTGTGGAGGGACATTTGTTGTGGAGGGACATTTGTTGTGGAGGGACATTGTGTATAATCATTTTTTGTACTACACTATTTTTTAAATGCTTCTTTTTCATTCCCGGCAAATATTCATGGAAGTCTTTAGTGCCTACGGGTTAAACGCGCTAGCATGAGGATTATCTAGTTAGCTATTTCTTTATAAATCGTCTGTTACGCGCTAACCTCCACAACCAAATAACAAACTTAATGTTACATGCTGGGCCATGTAACATTGGGCCCTCTGTTAAAGTCACAAGCTAGATTCGAATCAAAAGCAGCAATATCTTCACACAGTGTCTGAATACAACGATCACAAGACTACTGGAACTATGGGCTACAAATAGCTACATAATGGATGTTTCAAAACAAGTGTCGCATGCGTGAGAATGTGTGTACTGATGTATATATATATATATATATATATATATATATATATATATATATATATATATATATATATATATATATATATATATATATATATATATATATATATATATATATATATATATATATATATATATATATATATATATATATATATATATATATATATACATATACATATACATATATATATATATATATATATATATATATATATATATATATATATATATATATATGTATATGTGTGTGTATGTGTGTGTATGTGTGTGTATAAGCGTTTGTGTAAGTGTATGCAATTGTTTGTGTGTGCTTATGCAGAACCATGTTGTATAGCAGTTATACAGTGTTTCTTAAACAAAACTTTTGAGGGTTTTTTTTTATTTTTGATGGGTATTCAGTTCAATTTGCGCTACGAATTCTGATAAACCGCATGACGAATTCAAGTACTCAAGGCCGAATCTAACGTCTTCACTGTCCGCCTGAGGCCCGCAAGACTCAAGACGATTAGCCCTGGACTAGAAGAAGAACACTAACACTTCTCACGGCGACCAATGAAATATTTAAAACCTGCTCATGCGATCACGTGACTCCAAAGTACAAGACTATCGATGTTTTAGAAGCGATCACCGTCAAATCCCGATATTGTTAATGATTTATTGATTTTAAAATGGTGTTTGTCGGAGGAATTTCCTGTTATACCGTAGACAGGAAAATGGTAACATAATATACGTTACAACTAATACAAAAAATTGTCAGAAAATCTGACCTAACTTTAACCCTAACCAAAGGAATTCGATGTCTTAGATTTAAAAATAAAATAAATTCCGATTTGCATTATTATTTTTATTTTGATAGGCCTATAGGCACTTTTTTGTTTAAAGCAGTTACATATTTTTAAATAAAAGATTTAAGGATATTACCTAGACCATCCACTTTTGTTATCCACTTTAAATATCCACAAAGTATGCTTCGTTTTATCCACATATGAAATCCACCAAATTTTAATAAAATATACCATCACTCTAAATCGGCACTCTGTGTCACATTTTTAAGCTCAGCCAACTTAAGGCGCCATATTCCAGCGACCTAGGTACATTTCAACACACAACACACTCGTACACCACGGCCCGCTGTTTTATTTAATTCATGACACGGGCCATTGAACATGTGTATGCAACTAGGTCAATCGGAACTTCGCCGTGACCGCTACAGGAAAAACTTAACTGCGTTAAAAAGTTAGGTAACCGCACGAGTGACATACCGTTACATGTTAAAAGTTATCCCCCAGTTTTTTGGTCCTTTTTTTTTTCTCATGCAGGCCTAGATAAAATAAATTTTAGATTAACGCAATTTTTTTTCAAACAGGCCTAGATAAAATACACATTAGGTTAACGCAAATTTTGTTCATGCAGGCCTACATAAAATAAATTTTAGATTAATGCATTTGTTTTTTTTTCAAACAGGCCTAGATAAAATACACATTAGGTGAACGCAATTTTTTTTTTCATGCAGGCCTAGATAAAATATACTTTAGATTAATGCAATTTTTTTTCGTTGACTACTTCAAACAAGCTGAAGCTTCTATTGACATAAGCCTCTAAGATATGTGACATACGACATGTGATTAAATAGTCTGACACACCTTAGTCGAAAACACCGAAACGGGGCTGTTGAAAGTGTATTCAAATTGAAAATTTTGGCTGATTAGATGATAAAAGACAAGCCTTAGAATAAAGTTAATACAACATACAAGAGAGAGGTGTTGTTCTTTTTAATAACATTTCCGATAAAATAAATTTAGTTTTATCTATTCATATTTTGTGGGGAAAAAAACAAAGTTACCTCCCCTCTACAAATACATTTTAGCGCTAGTGAGTAATAGGCCGAGATGTGTTGACACTGACATGCTGCATTAAATAGGTAAACACACTGAGGGGAAAGGATACACATTCAGACGCCAATTAAAATATCCAAATTTCAAAATTAATGCTGAAAATAACAGGATTGTAGTGTCGATGTATAAGGCGGCAGGCGCCAACAGAATGTGTGTAATGATGGGAGATAATAAAGCACACAAACAGTTAGAACATGGTGTTTAGTAAATTTAAAGTTTCGGGCTGATCCGGTATCTCCTCGCTTAGAAAGAAAGGCCACATCAACTCTTAACTATGGCAGTGGCGTAGCTACCGTAAAGCTAGCGTAAGCAAGGCATAGGGGCCCAAGGCAAATAGTTAGAGGGGGGGGGAGTGCAAATCGAAAGTCTGAGGGGGGGGGTGCAAATCGAAAGTTTGTCCCCGGTCGCCGGGAAGGGTCGCTACGCCTCTGAGGGGCCCACTAACACTTTTTGCATAGGGGCCCAAAAATCCTAGCTACGCCACTGAACTATGGACTATGTTCCCCCAATCCAGTGGCGTAGGCAGGGGGGGTTAGGGGGGGTCATAACCCGCCCATAGACCCCTCGGTATATATAAAAAGTATAAGGGGGGGGTGCAAATCGAAAGTTTGAGGGGGGGGTGCAAATCGAAAGTTTGAGGGGAGGGGGGTGCAAATCAAAAGTTTGAGGGGGGGTGCAAATCGAAAGTTTGTCCCCGGGTAAAAATTGGACCCCCCCCCCCCCCCCCCCCTTGAGACGATCCTGGCTACGCCACTGCCCCAATCTGTGCTACACCTTGTCAAGTGAACGGATCTTCCCGTTTCTGCACCTTGCTGCACTTTGTTCTGCAGATTTCTATTTTAAAGCATTATTCTCACAGACATGGTAAGATAAAAGACCAAGTCCCTTTGTTCGCCTTGCTGTCATCCGTCTGTAAGTCTTTGTCCTTTAGCCACTGTTCTATATTTTCTAGGCAGCCCACTGAAAAAGTGTGTTTAGACGAACTACTAACTCGACAAATGCGTAACATGACTGTATGATAATGATTTTGGAGGATGAGTGGATGTTTTAATAAATGGATGTTGTCCACGATTTGATTAAGCCTTGTAGATTTAATCTCGATTGTTCTAGCTAAGGTACTTGTAGTTGTCACAACTACGGTAGGTTATATGTTTGTTTAGTACCGCAACCCTAGAACTAACCTTTTCTCCATTCCTGATCCCACCCTCGAAGGTAGTCCACCAGACAACAAATGGCTTACTGTATCTCTCAAGATGGCCGCCCCCTGAGGGTCGTTACTCCGGACAACGCCTACCACCACCCCACGAAGCGCAGGGTCAGGCTGGCCTCGGTCAAGACAACCTTGTTCCACCCCAACCTGCCCACCCTACGTCACATTGAGAGGGATAATGTGAGTACCTGGGTTAGGTGAGGGTTAGGTTAGGTCGGGGACATGACATCACCCCAACCTGCCAACCTTACGTCACATTGAGAGGGATAATGTAAGTACCTGGGTTAGGTGAGGGTTAGGTGAGGGTTAGGTGAGGGTTAGGTGAGGGTTAGGTGAGGGTTAGGTGAGTGTTAGGTGAGGGTTAGGTGAGGGTTAGGTGAGGGTTAGGTAAGGGTTAGGTGAGTGTTAGGTGAGGGTTAGGTGAGGGTTAGGTGAGGGTTAGGTGAGGGTTAGGTGAGGGTTAGGTGAGTGTTAGGTGAGGGTTAGGTGAGGGTTAGGTGAGTGTTAGGTGAGGGTTAGGTGAGGGTTGGGTGAGGGTTAGGTGAGGGTTAGGTGAGGGTTAGGTGAGAGTTAGGTGAGGGTTAGGTGAGGGTTAGGTGAGAGTTAGGTGAGGGTTAGGTGAGGGTTAGGTGAGGGTTATGTGAGGGTTAGGTTAGGTTAGGTGAGAGTTAGGTGAGGGTTAGGTGAGTGTTAGGTGAGGGTTAGGTGAGGGTTAGGTGAGGGTTAGGTGAGGGTTAGGTGAGGGTTAGGTGAGGGTTAGGTGAGGGTTAGGTGAGGGTTAGGTGAGGGTTAGGTGAGGGTTAGGTGAGGGTTAGGTGAGGGTTAGGTGAGGGTTAGGTTAGGGTTGGGTGAGGGTTAGGTGAGAGTTAGGTGAGGGTTAGGTGAGAGTTAGGTGAGGGTTAGGTGAGAGTTAGGTGAGGGTTAGGTGAGAGTTAGTTCGGGGATATAACATCACCACACCTGCATCAGCAGAAGAAGGATGACCTAACGATCCGTTGGGCAGATGAAGTAGGGTTCATATGTTTCTTGACCTCGGCATATAAAGGGATAATGTGGTCAGCACTATGCTCAGCTGTCTTTACTTCCCCTAACGTGAGTTAGGTACCCATCAGAGTTGGGTGGACTCAAAGACGTTCCACTAACTTGAACCTGGATTCGAACTCAAAACTATCGGGTTAGCAGTCTAGCGCTCCATCGCTAGCTCACGCCGTCCGATATCAGAAGAGTCGAGTCGGTTACTAAACCGAAAAGTCAAGAGTTCGAACCCTCGGGCAGATGAGGCTCGTTAGCTGGGGACAGCCACTCTTCTAGGAGAGACAACTCCAAAATCAAACAACTGCTACCTTGTAGTTTGTTCTTGGTTGGACAAAGGCTATGGAAGCAAATCCAAAAAAAGAAAAGCAGGCTGAAATCGGAGTCAATGGCCTCAATGAATGGCGCATAACCGGTTGACACGTATCCTTAATTGTGAAGGAGGGGTGGTCGAGTCTGCAAAAGCTCATGTTTGTTTAAATTCGAAAAAAAAGTCTCGAGTTCGAAACTTCTGGCAAATAAGGCTCGATCCCTTCCAATACTAAAAATTAAAAACGAAGAAGAAGAGAAGAAGTATTAGTTGTAAATGTCCATCATACATTATATCAGTTATATGTTGTATTAGTTTAACATAAAGCCCAACGTACACCATCGTTCATAACATCCTCACACCATTACCAGGAGATGTGTTAGTCAAGCATCAATCATCATACATAACGTCCAACATTCATCATCACACATAACATCTAACATCCATCATCCATCTCACACATAACGTCCAACATTCATCTTCATACACTACATCCAACATCCATCATCCTACATAACATCTAACATCCATCATCACTCAACATATCCAACATCACACATAACATCCATCATCACTCAACATATCCAACATCACACATAACATCTATCATCACACATAACATCCATCATCACACATCCATCAGCACACATAACATCCAACATCTATCATCACACATAACATCCAACATCCACCAACACACATAGCATCCATCATCACACATAGAATCTATAATCACACATAACATCCATCATCAAACATATCCAACATCACACATAACATCCATCATCACTCAACATATCCAACATCACACATAACATCTATCATCACACATAACATCCATCATCACACATCCATCAGCACACATAACATCCAACATCTATCATCACACATAACATCCAACATCCACCAACACACATAGCATCCATCATCACACATAGAATCTATAATCACACATAACATCCATCATCACACATAGCATCCGTCATCACACATAACATCCGACATCACACATAACATCCGTCATCACACATAACATCCGTCATCACACATAACATCCGACATCACACATCCATCAGCACACATAACGTCCAACATCCATCATTAAACATAACATCCAACATCCACCATCAGAAGATGTGCAAGTTGCCAGACGAGCATTGCCAGACGACGACTTGCTGCACGGAGAGAGACTTCACCTACACACAGGTGAACCCCCTGATTAGCCCAACCCTCACCCTGCACTCTCTGGAACTGACCAAGACAGGTGAGAAGATCAGGGACCAGTACTCGCACTGGAAGAACATTCAGGTAACAGGGACGCTATATAAGAACATAGTTTACGTGGGCCTACGAACAGAGGCGTAGCTAGGGGAGGGCGGGTGGGGCGTCGAACGGGGTAGACAAAAAATAAAATATAAAGCTTTTTTTGAGCTGCATTACTAAATTATAGTCTCAAACGTCAACAAAAAAAAATAGTCCAACATTACATGAGGAATTTTTCTAATTTAAAACGTATTTAGTTAATATATAATACGTTACAAGCAAATTGTGAAATTGGGCATTTTACGCATTGGGTCGTATAAATGCAGCACATATAATCGTCTGACTAGAAAAACACTTGTATGTTGTTTGCCCAAGATACGTTAACCGGCTATACTGACAGGTGTGTTATTTCACAGGACACCGTGTACGAGTGGGCACATTTTGATGCCCAGGACCTCCTGAAGATGACCCGGAGACCGCCCAGTTTTGACGCCACGAACGTTGAACCCTACCGTCTGGACGGTGTCATGGTCAGGTGGTCCAAGCCAAAGATGCGAGACTGGAGGTGAGTGGTCATTTCGTTGGACATTTTGGTAAGGTGGGTGGACATTTTGTGGACATTTTGGGGACGTTGGTGGACATTTCGTGGACATTTTGGGGAGGTGGGTGGTCATTTCGTTGGACAATCTGGTGAGGTGGATAGACATTTCGTGGACATTTTGTGGACTTTTTGGGGAGCAGTATGGACATTTGGTGGACATTTTGGGGAGGTGGGTGGTCATTTCGTTGGACATTCTGGTGAGGTGGGTGGACATTTCGTTAACATTTTGGAGAGGTGGATGGACATTATTCGTTATTCGAACCATTGAGGGATGGAAGGTGGACATTGCATGGACATTGGAGGAGTTTTGGAAAATTTGCTTTGACATTTATGTGGAAATGGACATTGTATTTACATCTTAGTGGTTCTAAAGAAAAGAAATACTTTTAACAGTTGTATGACTTCAATGAAGTGTGTTTTTTTTCTTCAAGGTGGAACTATATACCAGGAAAAAACGAAACAAAACTTGTTCTTCCTGAAATCCATGACTATCAACATTAAAGATATAGATACAAGATGGGCTTTTTTAGATTTTAGATATTTAGATATTTGAACGCTTTCATTTTTTAAAACATCAAAATGTTATTTTTAAGGCGAAATTCATCCCCGATGTCTTAGTCAATGGTCTAGCTAAAATAAACGTATGTTTAATAAAACAATCAGTAGCTGAAGTCGAAAAATGTGTTTTTCTTATCTTTCTATGGTTTTACTGTCCAATACCTGTCTGTTTCTGTCAAATGTAAATTATTTTTTACCAACTTTACAATCGTTTGTGTTTTGTTAGATTAGCTAGACCAACTTAATAATTAACTATCCTTCTACCCGATGCATGTATTTTATTGTATATTGTATTGTTCGTGGCATAACTTTCAGCCTTTCGTTGTTTCAAAATTCTTTTATTTTCTATCTAAAAGGTTTTTGTAAGGTTTTTTTTTCTACAAGCTCTAATACATTTTGTACGGTATTTAGACCATAGCTAAACTATGCGGAGACAATGTAAAATTCCGTAGTTTAGATTTACCCAAACAAAAATGGCAGATGTTATAGACGTGGAAGATGAAAATATTTTAACTGGTATCTTTAAAGATTCCTTTCCAGGTAAATATACATTTACAGTATAAGTTAAGACACTAAAGAAGAAGAATGCAGTCACAATTCTTTATATAAATATACATAGCCTATCATAAGCAACATAGCAATAAAAAATAATTGGGCCTTCCCTACATTTCTGAGGCTGGGTTAGCCCGGTGTTGTCACTGTTGAGTGACGGCTTACACACATCATTCAGTCATCACAACGACGACTCTTCTACTTCTAGTAGTTCTAATATTCTAATTCTAAGTACTTCTAACTAGATCTAACTTCTACTCTGTTATAGGATAGAATGTAGTCTTCGAGTTCTAGCCCATATATTAGATTTTCTCACTAAATCTAAATTAGTTTTTTAATGTAGGCTACGCAATTTTCAATTTAAACACTGAATAATAGACATCCATATTTAATCCATTAAGTTTTAAGCACGCTTTAAACTAAATTACTTAATTTAATATTTATTGTCACTCACTGCCATGCACTCTCCATGACAACACAACTTACGGCAAACCACAAATCGGTTCGACTTTTTAATCGGCTATGCACCAGAGTTCCTCACTACACATAGTTTTTAAAAAAATAATAATGAATTGGTTGCTATATGGACGCCGGTCTTATAAAAAAACAGCTCACAATATTTGATTTCTTTTTCATTAGCTAGGCCAATGCTGCTGCCGAGAAAATCGGACAAATCGGCTTTTCCCTACCCCCTGCATGTTTAACTCTGTTTTTTGCATGCTTTTATTGTGTTTATGTTAACATGTTATACATCATTCTGTTCGTAATTGAATAACCTTTTTAACTGTATAAGTTTGATTTCTGTATTATTTCAGACGTTGAAGAAATCGCCGATTTAATCGCATTTTTTACCCCCCGCGGCGACGTGCCGATTAGGGGGGAGGCTTTTTCACCTTTTTAAAAGAGGGGTGTTACTTAGAGTCTATAGACTCTTTGAGTTTTCGTACTACAACAGTGAAACTTGGTAGAAGAATAGATTAAATGTTCACGTATAACGCTCAAGGTTCTTGGGGAAAATATGTTAAATACTTTTGGAGATATCGAACGGCAAAGTTGAACTAAGTTATTTGGGCTATTAATGAACCGATTTTTAATTTGAACCTTGAGCTGTATTCCTGAAATCTCGACGTTTATTAATATGTATGATATGTCATATTAGGCCCTATAATAAGGACGTCTATAGACTTTGAAGTGGACCGAAAATCAAAACATGACGCGCCGACCGCTGTCCGACTGAACCGCTCGGCTGTGCTTCGAATCGCTGTGTTTTAAATATGACGCGCTACAATTTTTTTTATAGACGTATCGAGTTTACGTACTACAACAATCAAATTTGGCAGACGAACAGATTAAATGTAGACGTACAACGCTCAAGGTTCGTGGTCAAAATAAGTTAAATACTTCGGGAGATATCGGACCGCAAAGTTGAACTAAGTTTCCCGGTCTATTATTTGACCTATTTTACATTTGAACCTTGAGCTGTATTCCTGAAATCCCGCCGATTATTTTAATGTATGACATGTATTATAACACCTCATAATAAAGCCGTCCATACATTTTAAGACGGAACGAAAATAAAAATTAACGCGTCGGCTGCCGTCCGACTGAATCGTGATCTACACATCGTGTAGCACAGCCGAGTGTGTGGTCACGTGACGCTAGGCGGTTGATCCGATTGGATGAGACTATAAACAATTTCTAAAGATAGATACGTGTTTCCCGTGTTTGACTCGTCGGGTATTGCTATTTTATATTTAAGTAGACAGGCATGTTTCATAACTTTGTTTTAAACCATTTAAACGGCAAAAAAAAAAAAAAAAAGTCGTAATAGTATTTACTAATCGTCAAAATTAATCTTCTTTAGAAATTAATCCGGATAGCTGCGACCCGACCAAACAATGCTGACGTGATTCGCGTAACGTTTCATTATTGTGTACATTACTTTTTCGTAAAAATGGCTTTAAAAAATAAATTAAATTTTACCCCGGGCTCTTTTTTTTTTCGGTTGACTAAAAAATTTTAAAACCCTTAACAACGTGGAGGCTACTAGCTTGCCAAATCGACCAAAATGGGATGGGGTGGGTATGGGGAGTCACTGACCATCCTACACGGTATGTAACTATTGTAACACCGTATGTAACATCCATAGCCTCACCCCGCCCCCTCTACTCCGTGACGCGACAAGCCGAGGGTCGGCGCCTTTGATGTTGTATAACACCCGTACGGTACCCGAGCGGCTCGCGGTGGTTTCATATCCCACCTCTCTCCCCCTTCACTTTGTGGAGTTGATGTTACTAACCCTCGGGCATAGATCAGGAAATCTTCCCAGACTTTTGTCTCTAAAATTACATAATATTCGTCTGACACGTTCATCGGGTTGGCCGACTAGCCTATCTAGCCTCGTGTTTACGTAAAACGGCAATACAATTCGTTGGTCAGAAAACCTGGTTAACCATGTCTGATTTCACTAAATCTAGGCAAATGCTGATGGTGATAAACGCCTCCGGAAACTTAAAAAATGCCTAGCATCTACTACACACAGTCAAGCACTCAAACATGTGCTTTTTTCCCAATGTAATAGGCCTATGGTAGGCCTACAAAATACACAAGCTTACAACTAGCATAAACATTGAGCATATATAAATCTATGTTATAGACCTATAACTTACACTACCTTGTACAAGCTAAAAAAAAAACAATTTTCCTCCAATGTTTATGTTATTAAAATTGTAAAAATGAGCAATTTTTTTGTGTTTAAAAATATTACAAAATTATCATAAAGCACACTGATTCTGATAAGACACATTTGTAACTAGGCTAATTCTATAGAAGAAAGTTGTATCAATGGTATGACATTTAAAGTAACAAGAAATATAAATATAATAAGATATGCCTATATTTTTGGAATAGAGTAGGCCTGTAGGATTGCACATAGATTACATAACATATTTTTAGAAGTTACATCATCACAAATATACTATTATTTATAGCATCCTTCTCTTTGTATTAAAACTGTATTAGTTATCTTTTCTTTAAGTAGGCTATTCACTTAAGTTAACTGACAATGAGCAAAAGAGATTTTAAAATAAACACATGGTAAATTATGAGCAAAAGGTGCGAATTACATAACCTGACCTTTATAGTTTTGTAATAATGTTCGACCATTTTAAATATCACCATTAGCTTCAGCATATACAAATGTCATATTATGGTTTAAAACAGTGTTTAATTTAAAGAATGACTTCTTATCACACGGATTATCAGATGTTGTAAAAAAAAAATTGAAGGGGGGTATTACATAATCCATGAAATAAGTCTGTTATGTAATCAAAAAACATTTTTTAAAATAGCATCATTGGATTCGGCATACAAAAATCTACAAAATATCATAAAATGACATCAATTGGTGAAGTCTGCTTGCTTTTATACCACTTTTAGTGAAAAACTCTTAAAAATTTGGTCCATACCCTCCCAGTATTTTTCCTCTTTCAGGGTCTACCCCGATTGTCTGAAAAAACTGCTGTTTTTTAATGACAAAAAAATTCATAACTTTTTTGTTTATGGTCAGATTTTGAAAATTCAAACTGATCTGTAATCAGATTGACAGCCCCTATCCAAAAATATGTAACTATTATATTGTTTTACTGAAATTAAATTTTTGCATTGGCCTAGCTATTTTCATAGACTAATAAAACTAATAATGCTTTACGTTCTCGCTCATTTTTCTACCTACACCGTTGATATTTTAAAAGTTCTAAATAACTATTTTACAGATGACTGTTGAGAGGAAATATGCACATTTCCTCACCCTGAGACTGTAAAGTACTTCTGTCTGTTATAAAAATCTATTTTTGTCTTGCTTGCAATATTTATTTTATTATGTATCATTTATATATTTTATAATATATTTACTTTTCCCACTCTTGAAACTAGAAAAGTGAGAACAAAATTTTGATGAATTTTTAAATCAATGTATAAAATTAGTCTTTTGTTCTTTTTTAAAAATAAACTATTACGCGTAAACAGTTCTTCAAAAAGCAGTGGTCACTATAGTGTTGATTTCTCACCAGCTACGGTGCATTTGGAAATGTATTCAGTATGCCACCATCCCCACACCCTATTATTTTTTTTAACTTCACAGTATATGTAAATGTTTTACTATTTCTATTTAATAATTGCAGAAAGCTGGCATGAGAATCCAGACTTTGTCCAGTATTTGGTGGAGCTTAGTTCTTATGGAGCAGAGAGATTATGTGAGTATGACATAGGCTATTGGTGTAAAGCAGGAAAGGAAATGCTCTAGTCACAAATATTAAAAAAATCCAAAAGACTTTGTCAAGCTGTGACAAGTATATTATTCTTTCAGGCATTGTGATCCACAGGGCAAACATGGTTGAGTTTATGTTTCTTTAAGCTCTGCACATGAAGGGATTGTCTTATTAACAATGCATGTAAGATGCCCAACCACATTTACTTTCCCTGATTAGGGTCTGCTCCCTGGAAAAATCTCACAATCAGAATTGCAACCAGGATCTTTACCTTCATGGGCCTAAATTTTGATTATTTTTTTTATATGTGCAAATGTTTTTCAGTTTCTTTAATAAATCCTTCCTATTTGTCATATTGTGTTATTGTATATGGCAATTGTAAAAGAGGGCGCTGCCTTATTTTATTTCCAAGGCAGCATGGACATAGCCAGCTTACCCCTGCCTCAGGCTTGTGAACTTGAAGGTATTCAACAGGTTCAAGCCCTGATGTGTAGACATTCAGATTAGCAATCATGTGCTCTGCCTTGTCGTCAGAGCTGTCAATAAAACAGTACTCCCAAAGTATAATTCAGTTGCAATAAATGGTTGGTGTGTTGTTTTGAAACACAGACTGTTACAGAATTTTATTTATTTTTACCAGGTCGAGAACCAGAAAGGCTTGCTGAGGAAAAGGCCCAGATCTTGTCTGAGACACAGGACCTCGCCTTCCATAACTACACCACATTTATACAAACTGCGGAATGCTCCAAAGAGATTTTCCAAGATGTAATTTATTTTAGTCTGCATTTTTGTTCATTAGCTGCTGTAATGATACTATTGGCATAAACCTCATTGTTATGCATATTTTTTAGATTGCTTGAAAACAAAGACTGTTAATAGGTTATGTGCTTTCAATACACTATTTCATTTTAATATTTCTAGTATAAAACAATGAATAGGCAGTTCTATATACACAACTATTGTATCACAATTAGCTCTATCAAAGCTAACTGAGAAGTCGTGTACCAATTTGTTTCAGTTTGAAATCATTGAGAAACACTTGGATGAGCTAATTAAGAAGTTGCCAGGTTTTTCTAATGAATGCAATCAGGTCATCAACAAAGCTCAAGACATCAGCTCAAGGTAGTGTGTCTTTTTTTTTATCTATGTACCTGATCTCATAACCCTTTATTTTCCTTCATGCCAGTGATTTTTCTCATGTGGTTGTGTCTGATATATGCATAGAACATTCACTTCCACACAGTATTGAAGGTAAAGTTAGTGATGAGATCTTGAAAATACTAGCTAAATTCCTTGTACAAGCTAGTGCTATAATTATCCTATATCTAAGTTAACACACCCTATATTGTAAGGCCCCATGTAACTATTATAATGTCTTTAAATTTAATTTCAATAAAATAATCACCCTCATCTTTTCCTGTTTGTTCCCAAGACACCCGGGCAGATGAAGTAGAGTTCATCTGTTTCAATTAACTTGGTAAGCACTATACTCAGCCGCCTTTGTTTCCCTAAGGTGGGTCAGGTAGCCATCATAGCAGGGTGGTCTCAGGGATGTCCTACAGACTCTAGCCCAGGATCTGAACTTGATACTTTCTGTTTAGTGGTCTAGCACTCTTCTACTCATCCACGCCGTCCCCTTAAAATAATAATATTTCTTTAAAAAGACCTGTGATTTCATATTTAATTTTTCTGTTTTTGATCAGCCTATGAATGAATTCATTAACATTAAGGGATAAATTGGCTCTGACTTTTTTGTTACTTCAACCAGTCGGCGTATGAACACATTAACATTGCAGCGACACACCCAGCTTCTGGAAATCTTAGAGATGCCCCAGCTGATGGACACCTGTGTGAGGAATGGCTACTACGAGGAAGCCTTGGAGCTGGCAGCGCATGTGAAAAGACTGGAGAAGAAACATCCCAACATTCCAGTCATTGCTGTAAGTTTCAGGTGTTTGTGTGACAGCGGGGTCACCACAGTGGTTTAATATTGTGACATCATCATAGAGCACAGGCTGTAACCCACAAGTCAGGGCTTTAGTTTGTTTGATATCCTGAGCCTATGTGTACCTGATTGGAGGTTGGGAACAAAAATTTATAAATGGTGAAGAGGTGAAATCTCCTTCGTCTGATTGGTTGTCACATCTGTTCTTAATTTTTGTGTTTTTACTGGGTATTATAGAGTAATCTGGGGACTGCATGGCCAGGTGGTAGAGCTGAAAGTTCAAATCCCAGGTTCAAGTCTGTAAGATCTCCCTGAGTACACTCAGCTCTAATGGGCAATTAAGATGCCAGGGCATAGTACTGACCATACTGTCCCCTTGAATGTCAATGAAGCATTTGTACTCTACCTAATCTGCCCCATGTATGAAAAGAAAAATATGAAAATGATAGTTACCTGAATTTTTTTTGCAGGTTATTATTTAGTCTTAATTTTTTTACTGATCATATTGGGCATACTGTAATGTTGTAGGTTTTCTGTATTGTAGAGTATAGTGCAAGAAGTGAAGGCATCAACACAGCTGATGTTGAACCAGCTGATCCAACAGCTGAGGACCAACCTGCAGCTGCCAGCCTGTCTGAGGGTCATTGGTTTCCTGCGTCGCATGGACGTGTTCACAGAGGCCGAGCTCAGGATCAAGTTCCTACAGGTGAGCTGGGCTTGTCGGTTGGGGTTGGGGGTCAGAGGTTTATCTTGTGGGGTGGGGGGGGGGGGGCGCATGGACGTGTTCACAGAGGCCGAGCTCAGGATCAAGTTCCTACAGGTGAGCTGGGCTTGTCGGTTGGGGTTGGGGGTCAGAGCTTTGTCTTGTGGGGTGGGACGACACCTGTAGGAATTGGGTGTCAGGGGTTTGTCTTGTGGGTGGGGGGGGGGGGGGGGCGCATGGACGTGTTCACAGAGGCCGAGCTCAGGATCAAGTTCCTACAGGTGAGCTGGGCTTGTCGGTTGGGGTTGGGGGTCAGAGCTTTGTCTTGTGGGGTGGGACGACACCTGTAGGAATTGGGTGTCAGGGGTTTGTCTTGTGGGTGGGGGGGGGGGGGGGGGGGCGCATGGACGTGTTCACAGAGGCCGAGCTCAGGATCAAGTTCCTACAGGTGAGCTGGGCTTGTCGGTTGGGGTTGGGGGTCAGAGCTTTGTCTTGTGGGGTGGGACGACACCTGTAGGAATTGGGTGTCAGGGGTTTGTCTTGTGGGTGGGGGGGGGGGGGGGCGCATGGACGTGTTCACAGAGGCCGAGCTCAGGATCAAGTTCCTACAGGTGAGCTGGGCTTGTCGGTTGGGGTTGGGGGTCAGAGCTTTGTCTTGTGGGGGGGGGGGAGGGGGGACCTGTAGGAATTGGGTGTCAGAGGTTTATCTTGTGGGGGGGGGGGGGGGGCGCATGGACGTGTTCACAGAGGCCGAGCTCAGGATCAAGTTCCTACAGGTGAGCTGGGCGCGTCGGTTGGGGTTGGGGGTCAGAGCTTTGTCTTGTGGGGTGGGACGACACCTGTAGGAATTGGGTGTCAGGGGTTTGTCTTGTGGGGTGGGGGGGGGGGGGGACGACTTCTCTGTTGGGATTGGGGGTCAGAGGTTTGTCTTGTGGGTGGGGGGGGGACGACTTCTCTGTTGGGATTGGGGGTCAGAGGTTTGTCTTGTGGGTGGGGGGGGGGGACGACTTCTCTGTTGGGATTGGGGGTCAGAGGTTTGTCTTGTGGGTGGGGGGGGGACGACTTCTCTGTTGGGATTGGGGGTCAGAGGTTTGTCTTGTGGGTGGGGGGGGGGGGACGACTTCTCTGTTGGGATTGGGTGTCAGATGTTTGTCATGTGGGGACACCTGTAGGAATTGGAATTACATGGTGTATGTCATGGGTTTGCTGAGGCACAAAAGTTTTCTCTGTACTGCCAGGTTTGTTATAAAAATTTCTCTGGACAAGTTATCTCATTGACAGAATATCTCAGAGAAAATATTTAGCCACACACTTTCTCAGATAGAATGTTTCAACCACAAAATCTCTCAGTAGTTTCAAATATTTAATTCATTACCAGCAACTTAGAGCAACCTGCTTTGCAGCTTATAATTCAGTCAACTAAAAGTAATCATTTTTACTACTACTTTGTAATTTCTTGAGATTTAACGTCAGTGAGACCATTTCTCCTGTCACCATTCTGTCTGGTGTTCCAAAGCCCATAGCTATTCTTATCTATTTATTTTTGTGGCATGACAGATTCTTCACTTATTTAGCACACCGCTTGTGGATCTTATATGGGGCTATACATTTGTTAATTATACTTTTTAGATATATATTTTTGTTCTAGTGGATAAACTTGTAAATATTTGACATTCATTTTTTTCAGGCCAGGGACTCGTGGTTTCAAAATATTTTGGAAGCTATACCTAAAGGGGATGGTAAGTTTTAAAAATTGTTCTCTGTATGAAGTAACTCTCCTTTTTCACATGATGTTGGGGGGAGGGGAATTTTTAACTTTAGTTACGTATTTCTGAGCATTCTTGCTTTCTTTCTTTTTGTTCAAGTATTTTAAAAATAAGAAGGTTTAAATAGTGAATTTCTAATTATCATCCAAATACATGTAAATAAAAGGCAGGTTATATAAATGTTTGCTTAATTAATTGCACTAACTCTAACCCTTACATTAACAAGAAATAACACTATATTTGACACTCCTACAAACATGTTATAAAACCACCCTAGCTAATGAGGAATTACTTATAAATTAATTAAATTTTAGCGTACACCCACATCACCAAAACTATCGAGGTCAGCCGTGTCCACCTGTTTGACATCATGACCCAGTTCAGGGCCATCTTCTCTGACGAGGACCCACTGGTCAGCACTGGACGAGAGGAGGGGATCAACGAGAGTTTGCTGTTTCACAGCTGGGTGCTGCAAAAGGTCGGTTTTCTCCCCTTATTTGACAAATTCTTATTACAGTTAGGTGCTGCAAAACGTTGGTTCTCTCCCTTTACAACTTCACACAATTGATATACACAGATGTAGAAAAAATAGTCTCTCTCTGTTGTAGATGGTGTTAGCCTAAATGAAAATTTATTAATAGGAACATTCTTAATCTATATACATAAATCAAGTAATACTAAAATGTATATTTAAAGTAATTATACCAGTATTACAAACGCTAAGACAAGATATTTGTAAATTTTGACCAATTAAAGTCAATTACAGATCTCAATGTGCAACATACCTCTGAGCCTAGATGTTTACTTTCTATTAATCTCCTTAATCCCATCAAAGCTTCAACTTTACTGACTTATTGATCATACCCCTGAACCTTGATGTTTACTTTCTATTAATCTCGTTAATCCCATCAAAGCTTCAACTTTACTGACTTATTGATCATACCTCTGAACCTGGATGTTTACTTTCTATTTGTTCCATCGAACTTTTGCCTGTGTAAATATTTGTTGATTGACGTGTTGACAGATTACCCAGTTCCTGCAGATGCTGGAGACAGACCTACTGGAGGCCGACCTGGCCGAGGGTGTTGGGGGCCGCATCGACTCCATCCTGGGCCAGTGTATGTACTTTGGTCTGTCCTTCAGTCGGGTCGGCTCGGACTTCAGGGGGCTCCTGGCTCCCATCTTTGAGAAGGCGGCTCTGAGATACTTCCAGCTGGCCCTACAGGGGGCAAACAAGAGGTGGGGGCAGCACTGGTTGAGGTTGACCTTTTGCAGGGTCAAGGTTGTTTATTTTTTTAAATGTGCATTTTTCTGATTTAATGCCAAGATTCACTAGTTAAGTGAAGTTTTTAGATTTGATGAAAACATGCAGTTATGTTAAAAAAAAAATCAAATTTTCAGATTTGATGAAAACATGCAGTTATGTTAAAAAATCAAATTTTCAGATTTGATGAAAACATGCAGTTATGTTAAAAAAAATCAAATTTTCAGATTTGATGAAAACATGCAGTTATGTTAAAAAAAATCAAATTTTCAGATTTGATGAAAACATGCAGTTATGTTTAAAAAAAAATCAAATTTTCTGATTTGATGAAAACATGCAGTTATGTTTAAAAAAAATCAAATTTTCAGATTTGATGAAAACATGCAGTTATGTTAAAAAAATCAAATTTTCAGATTTGATGAAAACATGCAGTTATGTTAAAAAATCAAATTTTCAGATTTGATGAAAACATGCAGTCATGTTAACAAATTTTCAGATTTGATGAAAACATGCAGTCATGTTAACAAATTTTCAGATTTGATGAAAACATGCAGTTATGTTAAAAAAAATCAAATTTTCAGATTTGATGAAAACATGCAGTTATGTTAAAAAAATCAAATTTTCAGATTTGATGAAAACATGCAGTTATGTTAAAAAAATCAAATTTTCAGAATTGATGAAAACATGCAGTCATGTTAACAAATTTTCAGATTTGATGAAAACATGCAGTCATGTTAACAAATTTTCAGATTTGATGAAAACATGCAGTCATGTTAACAAATTTTCAGATTTGATGAAAACATGCAGTCATGTTAACAAATTTTCAGATTTGATGAAAACATGCAGTTATGTTAAAAAAATCAAATTTTCAGATTTGATGAAAACATGCAGTTATGTTAAAAAAAAAATCAAATTTTCAGATTTGATGAAAACATGCAGTTATGTTAAAAAATCAAATTTTCAGATTTGATGAAAACATGCAGTTATGTTAAAAAATCAAATTTTCAGATTTGATGCAAACATGTAAACAAAATCAAATTTTCAGATTTGATGAAAACATGCAGTCCTACAACTTGCTGGGGCTGACCACAACTGGTGGACTACACTATGGCATGACATCATCACAGGTAGGTTGATCTCTAGGGGGGGGGGGGTTTGACAAGGGGTACTTTCATAGACAAAGGGGTAAGTATTGGCCACAGAATTCTGCCACATGGCGATATAAAAAAAAGATCAATTCCACAACTACCGTTATCTGGGATGTGACTGATTCACAATTTGAATTTTTCTGCTATTTTTAGTCACATAGTTTTTTTTTGTACAGAGTGGTCAGCTGTACCCTGTGTTAGATGTATACAGTGTGTTTTGTACAGAGTGGTCAGCTGTACCCTGTGTTACATGTATACAATGTGTTTTGTACAGAGTGGTCAGCTGTACCCTGTGTTACATGTATACAATGTGTTTTGTACAGAGTGGTCAGCTGTACCCTCCCACCTCCCTGCTAGACTTCTACCCCCTGGCCGCCTATTGCAACAACGTCCTGAGTGCACTCAATGACCTCAGGTTGTCCGCTCCCCTCAACCTGGCCTGTAAGGTTGCTGATGTCTTGCAGAGGTCGTTGATGGAGGTCAACCATGTCATTCTGGCATTTCACAGGTCAGTGACCTCTTGGTCAGTTTTCTCTTGACCAGGTCTGTTTAGTTAAGTTTGTTTTAATTTTACCAGATCAGTTTAGTCTTATATAGGTTTGTTTAATTTTGATTAGATCAGTAATGTTTTGACACTTGCTTGAGTCATGACCAGTTTTAAAGTCAGTTTTATTTGGTCAGATTCAATTAGTAAATAAAAAATTTGGTTCCTTACCATTTGATGATTTAGCCTTATGCCCATCGTTATCACTCACTTTCAGGGCTGAAGAAGCAACGTTTAATGCCAAAGAGAAAGACCAGTTTGAGCAGTTTTGTGCCACCTACGCCACAGATCTCCTGCCCTACCTGAACAAGTGTCTGCAGTCTCTGTACCCCCCCTCGCAGCTGGCAGGTGCGTTGGGTCTCACTGTGTCGGAGATGAACAAAAAGGTGAGTGCACTCCACCTGTCAGTCTCTGCACATTTTTAAAAGGGACATTATTTTACTGAATGACATATTTGTTAGGCTGGGGTTTAATATCCTGTCAACAGAGTACAATTTATTAAATCAATTATTTACTGTGTACGGAAGTCAGTTTTCCTTCCCTGATAATCTTTATCTATAATTCTCGCCCAACTATGCAGGGCACTACGCACCCACTACCCTCCAGTCCCCTCCCTCGCTCTCCAGGCATGCGCAACAGTGTGTACCCACCCACCCCATTTGGACAACTGTGTCTTTCAGAAAGTCTTCACCAGTCACTAAATAGCGGCGAATGCTTCACCGCGGTTCGGCTCGTTACTAATATTACTGCTAATGCTAGTGATACAAACTAATTAAAAATACTAAAATATGTTTTCAGACATACATATCAAAAGCATAACAATATAGACTTATTAATTTGATTGAAATCTAATATACAAATCAAAGCTGAAAATAAATGTCAACAACCAATTGAAGCACTCTCACCGGTAGACTAAATAAATACAATATAAATAATTTAGGCCTACATTTGCCTACTGTCCCAGGTTGATTAAATAAATACAATATAAATAGGTTAGGCCTACATTTGCATACTCAGTAAATTCATAATCATCATTTCTCCTTTTCGTTACTTGCAGAACAAAGACCCATAGGGACTCTGTCAAAGTTTTTCACCGTCTCATGTTGCTCTTTTTAGCTGTTCCCAATTTTCTCCTATTCTTTTGGCTCTGCTGCCATATCTTCCTAGGTCGACCCCTGCGTCACTCCTCAATAAATTAAGACCTTATTTTTATATATCTCCCAGAGTATCAATGTGTGTCTAAAATAACATTACTAACCACTACAATATTTTAAATGTAAATTGGTTTAGCTTGACTAGACTAAAACTGTCCTCTTGTCACCTCAGGCTTGTATAGGTGTGTTGTAAATTGGTTTAGCTTGACTAGACTAAAACTGTCCTCTTGTCACCTCAGGCTTGTATAGGTGTGTTGTAAATTGGTTTAGTTTGATGAGACTCTAACTGTCCTCTTGTCACCCCAGGCTTGTATAGGTGTGGTGGACCTGGCGCCAGTCCTGTCTCAGGTCAGTCATCTGATGCCAGCCATGCCTGCTGCACCCGTAGCTGAGCCGGTCAAGCCAGTCACTTTTTCTTTAGATGATTCTGATGACGATCAGACTTCCGCTGGTCAAGATCACCAGACTTCCGCTGGTCAAGATCTTCAGGCCTCCCCTGGTCATCAGACCTCTGATGGTCAAGATGTTAGTAGCCCCACTGAAGGGGTGGTGGGGGAAGCTGCTACTGGCCAGTTAGTGTCAGCCGAGGGTGGAGCTAATGCAGAAGTGCCTATCAGCTCAGGGGGTGGAGCTAACACAGACTTAGCAGTAATAGACACACCAATGGCAGGAGTGGGTGGAGCTTCTGTAGATGTACTGGTACCACCTGGGGGTGCAACAGACACACTGTCACCAGAAGAGGGTGGAGTCATCCCACCATTTGCATCAGACGAGGCTGACGACCTGGTGCCCAACCCCGCCTTGTCACACATAGCACCGCCCTCCTCACTACCTGGCCAATCAGAACTCTCCGCCTCTCCACTTGACGGAGACGGATGGAACAATGCAGACATTGATCTGGATAACTTAGACACCATGGATAACCTTGACACAACAGAATCCACAGTGGATCTGGATCTTCTCCCTTCTCCAGAAATGGAGGAAATTAAGTTGTGAATAAATAATACTAAATTAGTTATAAGATTTTTCTGCAGGCTTACTATGGGTTTATGATTGTTTTTCTTTTAAATTTTTGACGTACCAAATTGAGGGACTTTGCTAGATGGTAAAATATATTTTCTTCTTAGCATAAATGGAAAGAAAGAAAATGTTTTTATTCACGTATGGTGCTTACTGTGATAATTCTGCATGTGGTTTCTTTGTTGATAAAAAATTAAAATGAATTTTTTTTTTTTACTTGAATGTGTTGAATACTTGAACATATTGTACATATTAGAAATGTTTCTCATGATTATTTAAATATGTATTTTTATACTGGATTAAATTTTTGTTAATGATTCCATAACATTAAAATTTGCTAATCTAAAGTGGTTGTAATTTGTTTAAATTTTATCTAGCAAAATGTCAAGGTCATGTGAGATCATAGTTGAATGTCAAGGTCAAATGGTATCCTAGCCCAGTGTTGAAGTCAGATAGAGGAGGCCTTAAATAGTATGAAACAGATGATCTTTAGACCATCTGGGATCTCTACTTTAGGATAAGTCCCATGCTTTTTTTTTTTGCTTGACTGCGCTGACCCATCAAACCTCTGTCAAAGTCTGTTGGTCATTGAATGTGAAACTGGCAGTGTGTGAAATCTAACCATCATGGGCCTTACTCATGTGAAAATAGATCAGCTTGGCCATCTAAGACTAGTTAGAATTTCACAAGTAAATTTAGTATTTCATGAAAATATGTGTTACATATAAGCTCTCCTGTGTTCTTGAATAAAACTGGAGGGTTTGTCGTTTTAGTGTTGTACTCATGTCAGCTTGAAGCTGGTTGTGCTTATGGTATGACACTGATTAATTAAGCACATATGTAATAGTTTAATTAAACAAACTTAACAGATAAGAAATAAGCTGTTAAGTGCTCCTGTCGTAGGTAGTACTATAACTATTTGACTAAAGAAGGAGGGTGGGGGGCTTCTTTTGGCTAGATTTCAAGATGTCTATTTATTACTTCCCTTGGCTTATGGCCCTTATTGAAGCTAACTCAGCTCTCTTGGACTTGAATCAACCAGCTCCATGAATGTGGACGAATTGCTCATCTAGACCAGGCAATGGCCTCACCTACTAAACAGTAATCTTAAACTTTTTACCATTTACATTCTTCATACTCTTCTATACCATTTTTCTCATTTCTTTCAATATAATTATAATTATCATGTCTTTGTTTCTGCCTGATGTTGTATCATCATCTTTTTCTTCTTTGTGGAGCCCACTATACAATGTTGGGTTTATTCAATGGAATACATGTACAGTGTATGATGATAAAATATATCTATCCTAGATAGAATCTATATTTTATTATACACCGTACATGTATTTATCATAGACTATGGTGTACTAAAGTTGGTGAGAGGAAAGGTAATGATAAACAGTTACTTCCCTTTTGTTTGTTTTTTTTAAAGGAAGAAGAAAATCTAACCAACTTGTGGTTGCTATTTCTGTTACGAATAGCACATGCATAAGTATATGTACTTGTAACAGGGCTACCTGTAACACATACAGTAGCATATGTACATTTAACATGGGTGACTGTTAGCACACCTAGCATCATGTTACCTGTATCACATGGGCCTGTGATCTTGTAGCACATTCAAGTTCATATGTACCTATAACAAATATAATTCTGACAAGTCAGAAGAACTATAGTCTACTGAACTATCTAGATCAAGTACGATGGGTTTGTGTCTATAGGGTGCATCTCAGCTCTAATGGGTACCTAGCATGTTGACCCAGTTGCTTAATGCAATAATTGTCTAGTATAAAAACTAGATTGCTAACTCGAAAGTCTCGAGTTCATATCTGGGTTCAAATCAGTCGAACATCCTTGAGTCTACCCAGCTCTGATTGGTACCTAGCTCATGCTAGGCTGGGCATCGTGCTGACCACATTACCCTCATATGCCGAGGTCACAAAAACAGGTGAACTCTACTTCACTTGCCGCATCAACCGCCTGATAAAAAAAAGAAATTTTTACTTAGAAAAAACTCTACTTCCTCTACCTCTACACATTTGTTGACCATTTTCCAGTGTTGAAGTGATCTTGCCAATTTGCACTAACACAATCAACTGCTTTTGACTGAACAACAAATTGTGAATAACGTAACAAAAAGTTATTTAAAAATGTTTTATTTTATTTTTTAAATCAACTGATTACTTGCTCAAACACACATCACTCAAACTTGGAACACACCATCATAGCAAACATACAAGTGTGTAACACACTTTCATTGCAACATCCAAATGTGCAACACATCCATCAAAAAATCAACAATGTGAACATCTTTTGGTGAGCAGTGTAAAAAAAAAAACATTCAAAAAATATTTAGTGTCAAAGGTCAAACATAAAAGAAAATCAATTCCCCCCCCCCCCCCCCCATTTCTGATCAAGTTGTCTGTATTGATCTGTATGAACCAGTCAAACAGCTGGCCTTAGCTTCAATTGACCTACCAACCACATCACTTCTCTAGTTTACCTACCACATCACTTCTCTAGTTCACCTACCACATCACTTCTCTAGTTCACCTACCACATCATCAATTTCTAACTTCATCAAAACTAGTTTCACTTTATCTTAGCATCAGTTCAAAAATATTATGAAGATAATTGAGTAAAATTGCCATTATAAATTTTTTTATCTTATTAAATTTTCAGGGATTTAAAAACAAATTTCTCAAATTAAGCAAGTAAAAGTTATTTATAAATACTTTAAAACTAGTTACCTAGAATGGCAAGTTATTCTGAAAGTTTAAAAAAAAAAAAAAACAGAAAAATAAACAGGGCATTTATTTTACAGCTATGTATCAATATACAATAAGTACAATAAAGAAAACTTTTGGCAAATAAGAGTGCTTTTAAATAATATTCAAGGCTAATAGGCCAGCTGTTTGTTATTTTGTTTTGTTTTTTGATAAAATAGAAACACACCTAACATCAACCTACATTTTTTTTTAAACTCCATAAAATTTCTGAAAATTTCTTTTTTATAAAAATGTTGACATCAAAATACAAAAAAAAAGAGTATTCCTAAAACCAGAGACACAAAAACAACTAAAAAGCCAGTTTTTTCATCATGAGGTAGATCCGGGCATCCACTTCAAATCCGTGCAAGTTGTTGGGGTCACCCTTCAATCGCATCAGAAGCCCACCAAAAGACACATAGGCTGCCCTGGGAAACAAAACGAAAAAAAAAAAATATTTAAACAACTGATTCTGGGGGTTTTTTTTTTCAATATTAATTTTGAGCTCTCTCCATTTTTAAGAATTATTTTTATAACATTTTCAGTTTTTTTTATATTGATAATATTTCTGGTAATTATGATTTGTAAAAAAAAAATTTGGATTGGCTCCAATTTTATTCATTACATTCAAAACATTTCTATCAATCTATAACTTACACAAAATTAAAAACACTTCTAAGATATGACAAAAATAAAAATGTGTTTTCTAAAAGAGAAAGTGTCAAATTGAGTGAAGAAATAATATTGTGATTGGTGGGTGTCAAGTTGTGTAAATATAAGGTGTACACACACAGCCATTGCTATTGAAGGTGTTCAGAAATGGTGTTTGGTGTTGTTTTTTTTAATTATTTTTTTTTACTGTTGAAGGCATTTAGACATGGTGTTTTCTATTGAAGATGTTCATAAATGGTGTTTGGGATAAGAGGTGTAAAAAAAATCATGTTACTAAGGGTGTACAAAAAGGGTGTTTTGACAAGGGTTATAAAAAGGTTTAAACTATGATCAGGTATAGACTGTAAAATGTGTATTTAAGGTCATGTTTAAGACTGTTTTATTTGAAAGATAAAAGTCACCTTAGTGACATCTTTTGTGTGGCTGGCTAAAGGACAGGTAAAGTAGCCATTAAAATGACTGAGTTAATTTTACATTGGTATTTGCGTTGGTTTTCGTATATATTTCTTGGTTTATTTACTTCCTTTTTATTTGAGCAGGAGTGAGGGGGGGGGGGGTAAAAATGGGGTAACACACTGTTATATTGCAGTTAAATGATTACACTAACTATGAGGTGAAAACAAAGGTTGTATTAAAATATTGTGAAGCTAAACATTTTCTATGCACGTGCATAATACTAGAGGGCAGTATTCATGATGTGTCATCTCTAGGAGTGAGTATCTACGTTTTAAAACCGGTGTTAAATTTTTTCATCCAAATTATTGTTAAACAATTATTTTCATTTTTTTTACAAAGACCATCTTCAAGTTTAAACAAATGTAAAAGATAAATTAAGTTTTAAATTTTTATTTAATTTCCAATTATTATTTTGGCTTTTCTTCGTGAACAGTACCTGGCCAAAGAGGAAAGTGCATAGGTTACACACCGTGTTGAAAACACAGTTGAGAACAAGTGTCGGTGTTTAAAGTTGTGAACAGACTTGCTCTCAACTATTGGGGTAAACAGTTAAAGTGCCTAACACTAGTCTCTATGGGCGGGGCTAGGAATCGTATTATATTATGCCCTATTAGCGGGAATTACTACTCATTTCTGAGAAGGAAGTCTTAACCTTAGAGCTACGGATCTACCATAAACTAAATAGTTCTATGATGATCTGATGAATGACAACACTCAGTGAATAATGGGACATACAGCAGTACTTACAATTGGTCCCAGAAAAAAAAAATTACTCCTATTATTTAAATACCTACATCACATGTTGTTAAAGAATCGTCCGATGAAAAAAAAAATTCGGCACTATTTTTTTTTACTATGATGCAGGGAGTCAACTGATTTGGCGGTAATGTGGATAGTGGTTGTCACGGGCGTACGAATACAACCAGCTAACCACACTGCCAAAAAATCAGGGACTAGTTTAAAAACTTGAAACACTTTAAAATTCCAGCGACGAAAAAAAAATGTTTTAAACAACCTAAGTGTTAAAACGCCAGGCTTGCAAGTGGCGTACCAGGCAGTCGGCAGACGTGTAGCCGTCTGTTTCATATCTACGGACTTATAAAGACAAAAAAAACTATTGGCAGTGTGTCAACACTATCACACTAAAGATTACCTGATCAAATTCGACGAAATTTTTTTTTAACGAAAAATAGGTATTGATTATATTGGCTGACGTCAGATCACATGACCTAGTCATGTACTAAAATAGATAGAGTCAGCGAAAACAGTTTCATTTTTAAAATTAGACCTGACTTTTGGCAGTGAGGTGTGACAGGGGGTTGCTGACGTTCTAATTAGGACATAATCAGACTGGGTAATTAGAGCGGAACAGATGAGGACAGGTGGACAGACAAGGAAATGACCAAAAGAAACAGTGATCTAAGACTGTTGACAATCAAAATGTCACCAGAAATCGCTGGACAGACAAAGGGTGACCTGAAATTACCGTCCAACCAAAGAATATCTAGAAAAAAGTAACCAATCAAAGTGTAGTTATGGCCAATGAACCAATCGAATCGCGTCATAAATGTACGCTGGGATCCCTACGCTAGGGTCAGTGAAATAGTCCATCAATACAAGCTGACCGTTAGATGCGTCCCTAAACTGTAAGCACGTCTTCGATCAGCTGACTTTACATCTATACAACGCTCGCGTCAAATCAAAACAACTTCATGGACTCAATTATTGTACAACTGATTCTGGTCCAACTTATCTAGTCTAACTAGTGTGGACACCTTTTCAGGTCAGAACAAAAATTAGATGCTAAAAAGTCACAAAAACTGGAGAATAAATTATTGAGAACGGTACCGGATAAATTAAAGTCCACTAGTTAGATGTCCACTACGACCAAATGTCCACTACAACCAAATGTCCACTACAGTCAAATGTCCACTACAGCCAAATGTCCACTACAGCCACCAGTTACACCAGTACTTCCACTGGAAACCAATCCAATCACCCGAGTACACTCAACACACACTGCTGTGTGAGGCAACACACAACTGTGTGAGGCAACACACACAACTGTGTGAGGCAACACACACAACTGTGTGAGGCAACACACACAACTGTGTGAGGCAACACACACAACTGTGTGAGGCAACACACACAACTGTGTGAGGCAACACACAGTGCTACAGGTTTAACATCCTTGTGGACATGCCATAGTGTCGTCCTCAGCTGATCAACACGCCATTACGTAAATTAACGGTATCCTGTGGTCAAACTCGGCTGAACAACACAAACTGAGCTGATTCAGACGGCTCACATTAAAGGTGTTCTACTGTCAAACTCAGCTGATCAACATTGCTTAAATTAACGGTATCCTAGTCTACGACAAAACTCAGGTCCCTCAATAACCTACGTCACGTAATGTAAGTTATTTACAACACCACCTACAAATCCACCCCCTATCGTCGAATATTGTAAAACCACCACATCCCACATTCATCATTGACCTGTGTAATTATCGCTCCGCCCATCCACACCTAAGTATGGCCATAATTTGGACGACAAATCAAAAACATATTTTCTCAATAATTGAATTTCTATGGAATTCTAAACGTATGCTACATCAGCACCCACCACCCCTTTTCCAGCAGCGTGACGTCATATATAACCCCCCCCCCCCCTTCTAACAAGTCATCAACCTAACCTGAACACTAACGCGGCTCCGGTAAGGGCTTTAGCTTTCAACACATGAAGTCAGTGGAGCAGGAATTTAGATCCAGGTTTGAACGAGGAAGAGAATCGTCAAATCTCACAAGGTGTCCAGAAATCAGTTCCATACGTGTCCAGGCTACACACGTCACATAACACACAACACATTCACATAACAGAGTCACATAACAGTCACACAACACAGTCACACAACACAGTCACATGACACATTCACATAACACAGTGACACAATAGTCACAAAACGCATTCACAGTTCATACGGCACAAACATGTCATAGCTGCACTATATATGTCGGTACTCACATATGCACATACAGGCCTTTGTAAAAATCAACATACAACACAATCATCACACAGCATCAAAGAACCACAGTAACACACAACACTACATGGCAGTCACGGAGCACATTAATTCACACAACAATACACAACACATCACAACAAGTGAGGTGCACACAATAGCACACACACATATACACAATACACACACATACACACACACATACCACATACACACATATACACAATACACACATCACACACACAAACACACAACACTCGACAATTACATCAGCGGACTAGACAAAGCATGAACACTGCACAATACAACACACTACTTACAGTACACTGCCATCCAGCGTGTAGAATCACGACACAGCACCTACACAGGTAACGACACAAGTATTCTATCCACTGTAACATAGATGTTACACAACAACTCGTTTCTGCTTACATCCCTACACACACACACCGCCCACATCGATATCAATCAATCGATATTAGAAATCAATCGATACACATTTTCGGTGGCATACATCCAGACACCTCTGCACCCCCACCCTCCACACACACTCTACGTCATGCGTGTACCACTAACCTGCCCCGTAAGCAAATGACGTATGGCCTACATAGATCTATAGGTCTACGTTACTAAATATCGCTTTAGTAGCCGAGCCAGGGGACATAACCCCATGGATACCGTAAACACGGAAGTTACTCCCCTTACATGTTTCGAGGAAAAAAAATATGAAAATTATTCAAATGTAAAAATTTAGACGAATTTTCCGACAAATGTTGATCAGCAAAAATCAATACATATTAATAAGCTGACAAAATAAAGGTAATAATATGTGAGTTAAAGGGGGGTGGGGGTTCTAGCAGGTTGCTGTGTATAAGTAGTCTAGTAGAACGGTGACATCAGCAGGGGGGGGGGTCGTTTCCAGGCTAGTCTAGAACCGCTGACATCACGAGGTTGGTAAAACATGCACTCAGTCAAGTGGCACCCACATACACTACAGCAACACGGCAGTAGATACACACTGTAACCACGACACTGGGCTCATGGTTATACACGGGGCTCATGGTTACACACGGGGCTCATGGTTACACACGGGGCTCATGGTTACAGGGACTCATGGTTACACACGGGGCTCATGGTTACACACGGGGCTCATGGTTACACACGGGGCTCATGGTTACAGGGACTCATGGTTACACACGGGGCTCATGGTTACACACGGGGCTCATGGTTATACACGGGGCTCATGGTTACACACGGGGCTCATGGTTACACACGGGG